TTGGTACTCAGTTGTTCCATTTCTGTTGTTTTCTGGATTTTTGGTTCTTTAGTTGAAATCAGAATTTGGCTTTGTACATCTAAGCTGGCATCTTGATCTTTCTTTTTAGGTCTCATTTTCTCACAAACTGTGAGAATAGTTTCAAGTATTAATTTTAGCATGGCAAGGTTTTTTTTGCTGATCTTCCTCCATCTCTATCATGAAGTTGTAAATAGTCTTTCTAGTGAAGGTTGTTTATTGAGCAAAAGTCAGTAAAAGTTCACCTTCACAATTCACAATTCATGGAAACTAATTTCACTGCCCATCTGTTCTCTCACAGCTGAAACCCTCACAGACAATACCAAGGTCAGAGAAATCTTATCTGGGCTGGGCTGTGAGCTAAATCTTTTTGTAGGAAATAAGAGATTGTAATTCCAACCTTCCCCACAAGGTGTCACCGATACCATTTAAAGTTTTTTAAAAAAAATTCCCGGACTTTTCTAGGTTCTTTTCCAATTTAAATTCTTTTTTGCAGCTAGAAATAGAAAGTCTCTGTAAGAGTAGGAGATTTTTGGTCCCCAAGTTCCAAAAACATATAGATCCAATTATATTAGAGTGGTATTTTTGATGCTTTGATTCCCTGGGTAGTCAGACATCGCTATTTTTAGAGGGGAAAAAATTCCCTTCCCTCTCTTCACAGGGGGACGATACTTCAGGAAGCTTTTTACAGGAAAATACTTAGGATAAAAAGAAGATAAGATCTCACCTGGTTCCTCCACATTGCTTTCAGAGTGCTTGTTAGTGAGTTTGACTTCGGCTGTCAGCAGCTAAGTGATGGGCCATATTGTTATGGCCGATCTTTTTTCCCGTTGGTTAGAAGAGCTGGCCCGGATCAAGTGGGAGGGCTGTTTTTTCCTCTAACATAGTCTTAAATGTTTCTGGAATTTTTGGAAGACTATTTTCTTCTAGATATTGGATAGTTCTCTCTCTTGATGTTTCTTCTACATCATACAGTTTCTTGCAATATTCCTTAATTATCTTTTTTATTTCATTTTTAAATTGTAGACAGCTTTTTTCATTTACTAAGTTGTATATCATTTTCTTCTCCTTCTGTTTTTTAAGTTTATAAGCTAACCATCTCTCTGGTTTATTTGCATTTTCAAAAAAAATGTTTTGCTCTTTTTATCTGCTGTGCCAATTTTTCTGAATCCAACAAATTTAGTTTGTGTTTTATTGTTTCCATTTCTCTTTTCAAAGTCTTTTTCTGCGGCTGTTTTTTTGTAGTTCTGATTCTAACTTTCCAAATTTTTCTTTTAGTAGTACATATTGCTGTCTTCTCTGTTTGTTTTTCCTTGTTGTATATGTTATAGCTATACCTCTAAAATACTCTTTGGCTGTGTCCCATATATTTTGTAATGTTGTATCTTCTTTTTTGTTTTTTGCTAAAGAAAAACTCCATTTCTTTTTCTTTCTTTTTTTTGCTAATTCTATCAATTCTCTTTCTTTTAGTATAGATTGATTTAAGGTCCATCTTGGTCTTTTTTGTATTCCTCTCCATGTCACTTTTAAAGGGTTATGGTCTACCCATTTACCTAGTTCTATCTCAATTCCCTGTATATTCATCCTCAATTCAGACATCATCCAAATTATGTCAATTCTTGACCAGGATTTTTGACTATTTGAATAAAAAGTATATTGTAGTTTTTCTGGATTAATTTCCCTCCAAACATCTTGTATTCCAATTTCTTCTATCATATTAAAAAATGTATTAGGTAGTCTTCTTCTTCCAGTTTTCCCTATTTTGCTGCTTTTATGGTCAATTGTCCCATCTACTATCGCATTAAAGTCTCCTACTAAACAAATATTTTGGTACTCCATTTCTATTATTTTTCTATGGAGGCTTTGGTAGAATTATTCCTGGTTGTTATTTGGTGCATAGATTACTACTAACAATGTTTGTTTTTGATGTAGATACATTTCTACCATCACAATTATTCCTTCTTCATCTAAGTAAACCATTTTAGAATCTATTGTCTTTTTAATATATACAGCAACACCTCTTTTTTCTGATGCACTGATGCATAATAAAGTTTCCCAATTTTTGGGTATTCCAACAGTTTATGTTGTTGTTTTATATATATATATATATATATCTTGCAAACAAATTATATCTATATTTAATTTCTGTAGTTTCCTGAATTTTTTTTTTTTTTTTTTTTGGACAGGGAATTTAGTCCATTTATATTCACTGAAAAGATTTCATTTTCTTTCTCCATTTCCGTTATTTATATTTAGGTATAGTCAATCTCGTGGTCCTCTGTTCTCTGGCAGTTCCTTCACTCTCTTGTTCAAATTTCTCTTTCTGTTCTCTTGTTTGTGTAGTTACTTCTTCAATTATCTCTTCCATTTGTTTCTGTTCCTTGCTCTCCTCTTGCTGATGTTGCACTCCTTCATCTAAGACTGCTCGGTTTCTTAGTTCAAAGTCTTCTGCTTTCCAGATTGAATCCAGTCGATATCTTGTATTATTCCAGTTGATTAAAATCCCTTCTGGCATTAACCATCTGAAATTTATGCCTTTTGCAATCAGCTTTGTAGTTAAAAAAATGGTAATATCTTCAAGTATCTCTTACTCTCTTAGGTATCTGCTTTAAGACTACAATTTCTTTACTTTTGTATTATAATGGCTCATCTCTCACTTTTCTCAATACTTCATCTCTTGTTTTCTTTATGAACCTCACATGTATTTCTCTAGGTAGTTTATATTTCCTTGGGTAGCCTAAATTCATTCAAAATATTTCATCTATCTCTATTTGCATCACTGCTCTGTCTGCTTTCAAAGCCTCTGCCAGAAGCTCAATGATTACAACTGCTCTATTTTCTTCTCTGTCTTCAGGGATATTTTGAAATCTCAAGTAGTGTTCCACCTTCTGCATTTCTAAGATCGCCACCATTTCTTCTAGATTTTGGTTTGCTTGTTCTAATTTTTCATTTTCCTGCAATAGTATTTCCATTTTGATCAATATCATCTGATTTATTTTCCAGTTTCTGGATTCTTTGTTCATTTTTGGCAATCATTTGATGATGAACTTCAAATTGTGCCTTTATATCCAAAATTTCTTTGCTTAATTTATCAAATTGCTTTTTGTCTCTTCATGACTTTTTTGCCTTGACTCTTGAATCAATTTTAGTGTAGTCTGCATTTCATTTTGGGCAGTGCTTATTTTCTCACACTGTAACATTGTTTCAATAGATCCCTGAGTTGTTGGGCTAGGAGTTGCAACAGAGGGTGCACAGGAAGTCTTCTTCATAAGTCTGGTGATGTTTGATGTACTCATTTTTCAGCCAACAGTCTTAGGATAACATCCAAAATGTAAAAAGGAGCCAACTATTTTAGGCTAAATCCAGTATCTCAAGGGGAAAAAACAAAATAGAGCAGGCAAAAAGAAAAAAGAAAAAAAAGCCAACTGTCTTAGGCTAAACTCCAATCAAAAAGAATGAGCCAACTACTTTATGCCAAAGCCAACTCGTCCAGTCGGGTCTCAGATGTAAAGCGTTCACTGTCTCCAAATAGTTCGTCAACAAATATAGTTATGAGAAGTCTTTTCCATTGTAGACTCACATCAAGGAATTTTGTTTACACCAGGTGTTGTCTCAAGGTCAGATATTTCCAGATTCTTTTAGTATTTAATAATACTGTAATTGCTTCTTTCATCACTAGATGTCCTCATACACTATTTTATCAATGTCTGGTTTTAGAAAGTTTTTACAAAGTTTTTCTTTTAAAGTTTATAGGTTATTTGCCCTTGAAAAAAAAAGCACTGATTCATCCAGCTTCAGCATGCTGTTGACAATCAGCTGTTTGGTGGAGCACCACAGCTCCTCACTTTCCTTCCAGCTGTCAATGACTTGGGCTGCCTGGGCTCACCTGGCAGTCTTTCCTCCATCCTTTTAGAGGGTATCTTCAGTTCACTCAGATGACTGCCATCTGGTCTGGGGTCCTGAAGTATCCCTCCTTCTTCGTTGCCCCTCCAGGGCAACTTTCCAACCCTTTAGAGTCGCCAGGCAAAGCAAAATCGGGCTGAGAAGCCAGAGCCCCAGCTTCGTCCACCCATCTCATCACCTGCCAAAACCAGAAGTCCACTATGGAACTTAGATTTATTAGCAATCAGAAGCAGGGCCAGAAGTACTAAAGGAATGATTGAAATCCTAATGGTAACTTTTCATGTATTTGTATAATGTAACCTGCTTGTTCTTAAGAGCAGAATAGATTTCCTTTTGTCATTTTTTAAAGGAAGGCTGCTACTTTTCCCCCAAAAGCATTTGACAGTCTTTTGTCCACTTTTTCTTTGACAATCTTCTGGAAAATTTACTTAAGACTTGTTTTTTAGCCAAGCCCTTGGAGTAAGGATTGGCTTCTGAATGGTAGTTTTGTTTTTATTAGCGATTATTGTCATGTAATTAGCTGAAAACTATCTGCTGCCAGTAAAGATAAAGAAACATATAGAGAGGTTTTGTTCCCAGCTAAATAAAAGCATTGCCATGCATTCTGCGTGGTATTTTCTGTGATAAAATCAAGATTTGATCATTTATTCCTCTAGATCAGACATGTCAAACTCGCTACGTCACATGATGTCGTACAACATATCGGAAAGGTTTTGCCATTGCCGGCAATGGGGTGGGTGCGGCTTCCAGATGATGCATCTGGCTCACGGCCCAGCAGTTTGACACCCTTGCTCTAGATGGTCTGGAACTACAACTCCCAACATCCCTTTTAGTGGCTATACCAGCAGGACCTACTGGAAGTTATAGGCCAGGTGTCAAACTCGCAACATCACATGGCGTGTCACGACGTATCACGGGTTTTTTTCCCATTCCCGGCAATGGGGTGGGCGCGGTCTCGCATGACGCATCCAGCCCAATGGCCTGCAGTTTGACTCCCCTGTTATAGGCCAATAAAATTTCTGGATGACTCTATTTTTCCCATCCCTGTTCTAAAATCAGTTGTGAGGAACCTCTTTCACCTGCTTTGCTTCTTTGCTGGGTCCACCCTCAAATGCCAGGGTATGGAATGAGCTGCTTCTTCCAAGGTCTTGTCCAAGAGATCACTCAGCTGATTGTGTACCTGTTCCAGGACATTCACCTTCATCACCTATCAACAAAACAGAGGGAATTTAATGATGCCCAGGTCTGTCATGATAGATTCCTAGAATGTATTTAGGTGATGGGCATGTTGGTTGGCTTGGTATATCTGTATATCTCCCAGGGTTTTTTTTCTTGTCCTTGTGGCTAAATTGGCATTATCTGGAATGTGTTGTATGACATTGTTTCATATGGTCTCCTATTCCAGAGTGTCCAACGCACTTGCTGCTTCCAATGCTCTCTTCTTCCAATGCCTGATGTAAAGCCTTTTCCATGCTGCATTTAGACAACATTTTTTTCTCTCTTTATCATACTCCAGCCCATGATTGAAATAGCATTGCTGCATTGGTGTTAGATAATGTCCAGATTATGGAGAAGGGAGGGTTTGGCAGTGGCCTAGTAGAATTAGAGCTTTCCCCAAAGCTGGGCTGAAGTGGTCTCCTCCCACCCAAATAGCCACGAAGCCAATGGGTGAGAAAGCCAAGGTGATTTTATACATCTTGAGGCATTAGCTTTAGGGAAAGCCCCATTTCTACTATGCCATTGCTAAACCCTCCCTATACAGCCTGAACTATTCTTGGAGAAGGATGCAAACTTTAAAAAACTAAGACTCAAGAGAACAACCAGCAGCTGTCTCTCAACTGAGTTACTGCCTGAACCTATCAGATTACCCAGATGAGCTGGTTCTAAACTTAACCAGTTGTTTCCCTTCCTTGATCTATTACAAAAGCTCCCTTGCCCAGAAGGCCAAGTAGATCTCCAGGACCTGCTCCTCTATGACAAGGATAGATGTCATGTGGTCCTGGAGACACAGAATCAGCCATTTTAATCATCCTTGACTATTTACTGTATCATTTAGGATGGAATATTTGTTTCTCCAGTGCTAGCATTGGCTTTTATTATTACCTATTATAATATCTATTATTACCTCCAGGTGTCTCTTCCATTGGCTGTGGGCAATGACATTCTCCAGGTGTTCATCCTCTCCTAGAGAATTAGAAATAGCTTCACTTTAAAAACACGATTTCACATTGGGCGAATGGAGGAGGTCAGTTCATTGTTTGGATTAAAAATCTCATTGTAGAGATTTTTTTTTGTTTATAAATTACTACCTCCGAATTTCAAGTACTTGTTTCCCCACTCTTCACATTCTCTTTCCTTTGGGGTGGATAAAGCAGGTCCAAAACTATCTGCACCAGGCGTCTGAAATATGTTATATGGCATGTTTTATTCAGTTTTGTAGCCTTTTCTTAAAGCAGATTTCCAGACTATAATAACATCTTTTAACCAGCAGATCTGGAAGGCTGTTTATCCTAGAATTCTATAATAATAATAATAATAATAATAATAATAATAATAATAATAATTCAGAATGTAGAGGCAAACCAGGGGGAGTTGGCAGTGAAAGAATCCAGTAGAGATATACAACTGTTCTCATTTGGAAACCAGGCACCTCTTCCTCAGGAAGAACAAAACCCTCTAACTAAAGAAATAAAAGAATTGAAACAAAGAATAATTGAGCATCTAGAACAGCACAAAAACAACAGAATACGGCTGCCTGCATTGAAGCTTGTTCCAAAGAAACAGCTAGCACAAGCATTAAAAGATGCAAATACTGCAATAGCAAGTATAAGCACCAATTCACTGCAAGAAACAAAACAATTAATGTACAGCACAGCTGCAGTTATAACAGAATACCTGGGATGTAAAATCAACAAAAAAGAAAAACAAACAAACAGTGCACCAGAAAAATGGAAGGTTAGACTAGAAAATAAGATCAGCAAGTTAAGATCACATGCAAGCAAGCTAGAACAGATGAAAGAAAAGAAGCTGAAGAACAAGAATACCAAAGAATACCTAATCAAGAAATACCACTTAGAAACAAGGAAGATCAAGGAAGCACTGGAAATAATAAAGCAACAAATAACAGCTATAGCCAGGAAAATCAGTAGATATGAAGCTCGAATTGCAAACTATAGGCAGAACCTCCAATTTCCATCCAATCAGAAACATTTCTACCAATCCATCAATGGCGAAACTGCAAGGAATCAGTCAGTACCTGACAAGGAAGAAACAGTGCAATTCTGGAAGCAGATATGGGATAACCCAAAGAAATACAACAAGGATGCAGCTTGGTTAAAAGAGATGGATGCAAATAAAACAGAAGTTGAAATGAAAGAACTAGTAATAACAACAAAAATCGTAGAAAAAAGAGCAAAGAAAATCAAAATTGGTCAGCACCAGGTGAAGATGAACTGCATGGTGTTGAGTTGAAACATCCTAACGTTATACACCCACTCATTGCCAAATGCAATTCAACAAGATACTACAAGAGGAGAAAAATGAAAAGTGGATAACAAATGGGAAAACATACCTTAATAATGAAAAAATCCACCAGAGGGGCTAACACAAGGTACACTACAGGCCAATTACTGCTTACCTAACAACTTTCAAATATAACTCTGTGTGGTAGCTTGATGCAGTACAACGATCTAGTTGAAAACAAATCCTCTTTCCACCACTGAGTGCAGCAAAGGAAACCGACCCCAATAGCAGAGTGAGGGGATAACAAAAGATCCAACTCCTAATAACAAATGATCTTGGAAAACTGCAAGAGTAAGGAAGACCAACCTGAATGGTGGCATGGATTACTACAAAAGGCATTCTGACTCTCTGCACATGAGGATAATAAGTGCTAGAAATAACAGGAGTCAGTAGAAACATCAGAACATTTGTGCAAAGATCGATGGCACAATGGAAGACACAGTTGCAGATCAATGGTGAGAAGCTGGGAGAGGTTAATATCAAGAGAGGGATATTTCAAGGAGATTCATTATCACCATTACTATTTGTTATTGCACTGTTTCCTCTGTCAACAATACTGAATAACTCAGGACATGTCTATCAAACATCAAAAACATCTGCCAGACTATCCCATCTCCTTTACATGGATGATCTGAAACTGTATGGAAAAACATCATCTGAAATAGAATCGCTGCTCAACACTGTCTGTATATATAGCCAAGATTATGTAAATGGAGTTTGGCTGGGACAAAATGTGCACACTTAAATCTTTACATATTCAAACAAGGAAAAATAGTGAAAACTGAAGGAATCAAGATGCCCCACGAAAATAACATTAGGAGTCTGGATGAGGAAGAGTACTACAAATACTTGGGTATCCTTCAAGCTGACAACATCAAGCACACTGAAGTCAAGAAAAAGGTTAGAGGTGAATACATAAAGAGAGTGAAGAAGATCTTAAAGTCCAAACTCAATGGAGGAAATACCATAAAGACAATCAACACCTGGGCAATCCCAGTCATTAGGTACACAGCAGATGAATAGTGGACGGACTCAAGCAGAACTAAAAAGCAATGGACAGGTCTAGAACCAGAAAATATTAAATGACAAGGAATCATGCCCTTCATCCACGCAGTGACATTGATATACTTTATCTACCAAGGCAAATAGGTGGGCGTTGAATGCTACAAGTACATCAGATGGTTGAAGAAGAAAAAATGGCTTTGTAAGAATATCTGAAGAACAATGATGAAGATGCACTGAAATTAGTATATCAGGAAGGCTTACTAACTACTGGAGAGACCAAACTGGCCTACAAGAAAGACCCAATGACGAACAGAATAGAGGCATGGGAAGACAAAGCACTACCTGGCCAATACATGAAAAAAATAGCTGGGAAAGCAGATAATAAAACCTGGCAAGGCTAAGAGCAGGAAAATTGAAGAAAGAGACCGAGGGACTAATTCTGGCTGCACAAGACCAAGCCTTAAGGACAAATGCATACAAAGTCAAAATCGACTGAAGACAGCCACAGAAAGTAAGGCCCCGCCTATGCAAAGAAGCTGAAGAAATAGTGGACCACTTGGTAAGCTGTTGCAAGAAGATTTGCACAGACTGACTACAAGCAGCGGCATGACAAAGTAGCAACAATGGTGCATTGGAAGATCTGCAAAAAATATCATTTGCCTGTAAGCAAAAACTGGTGGGATCATAAAATAGAGAAAGTCATAGAAAATGATAAAATTAAACTACTCTGGGACTCAGAATTCAAACAGACAAGCACCTGCAACATAACACCCCAGACTTAACAATTGTCAATAAGAAAGACAAAAAAGTCTGGATAGTGGACGTGGCAGTGCCTGGAGACAGCAGAATAGAAGAGAAAGAACTGGAGAAGATAACAAAATACAAAGACCTAAAAATAGAAATAGAAAGACTGTGGCAAAAGCAAGCAAGGGTAGTACCAATAGTCATAGGCTCCTTGGGTGCAATCCCAAAACAACTGGAGCACCACTTGAACACCAATGGCATTGACAACATTTGCTATTAGTCATATGCAAAAGGCGGCATTATTAGGAACTGATTACATCCTGCGACGATAACCTGTTGAAAATACCATCACAACATCCACATATGCTATCCAGTCCTGGGTAAGGACTCGATAGGTAGAACAATATGCCAAAACTCCAAGTATGACCATATGGCCCCATGACATGTGCGATGACGATTAATAATACATAATAATAATAAGAAGAATGGAAGAAGAAGAAGAAGAAGAAGAAGAAGAAGAAGAAGAAGAAGAAGAAGAAGAAGAAGAAGAAGAAGAAGAAGAAGAAGAAGAAGAAGAAGAAGAAGAAGAAGAAGTTGTTGTTGTTGTTGGAAGGGATTTTGGAGGTCATCTAGCCAACCCCTTGCTCCAGCAGGAAACTCTGTACAGACAAATGGCTGTCTAATACTGTGCTTTAAAATAATAAAAGCTATTTAACTGAACTGAGGTAAAGTAGACATTGTCCTGAAAAACAGGGATATGCTAAAGACATGAACTTAAAAAGCTAAGGATAATATTGTTTGATTACATGCCACCAAGTCATTGCTAATCCTTAGTAAGCACATAAATAGATTTTTGCCACAATGATCTGTCCTTAATCTGATCCCTTAGCTCTTCCAAAGATGCACTCATCTACATGATAATTGGTAATTTAAAAGATACAGAATGGATTAAAATTGATGTATAAGTCTAGCCTTGAAAAATGGACATGCACAGAAGGAAGCTATAATACAATTTCTATAGCACAGGTAAGCAATATGTAGGAACCATTAGACCCATTTGGATTTTTTTTTTCAAAAAGAGCAGGTAGACACTCTAAAAAATGTCTATATAACAATATTCTTAGATGTTCTTAGATATTCCACATTCTAACTGAACCATGAATATGGAGTTCCATCAATTGTAACTTCTACTATTACTGCAATATCAAACTACCTACATATGACGGTCATATGCCACCTGTTGGCATCAAGGACAGTTAGAGCATAGAAGACTTAATGAATAAATTTTTGAGTGGAGATGTCTCCAGTTACTTAACTGTGCATAATTAGGGCTTCAGGGTTTGGAGACGCCTCAATTTATTGAAGTCCAGACCTCCTTTCTAATGTAATAGCAGAGGTTAGAGGAACTGTATGACACTGAGGTGGATCTAGAGCAGTGATGGCAAACCTTTTAGAGACCAAGTGCCCAAAAACTCCCCCCCTGCCCCTCCCACCCGGCCACCCACCGCCTCCAGGGCCCGCTGCAAATTGCCCAGGTGGCCCAGCAGTGCCATGGCAGCCACACCCTCCGCCCCGTAGCATCAACTGCACATGACGGGGCATGAGGGCGGAGTCTTCTCCCCACTGCCCAGCTGCCATGTCTTTGGCTGTGCTGCTCCACGCAGGCTGCGCTCAGGGGCAAATCTCCTCCCATGGGGAGAGGCGGGGCTGGGGCAATAGTGCACATGCCCACAGAGAGGGCTCTGAGTGTCACTTCTGGTACGTGTGCCATAGGTTCACCACCACTGATCTAGAGATATGAACTACAGTTTTTCCCTCTTACAATAAGTACCCATAGGAATCGTAAGAAGCTGATGGTCACAAAGCAATAGTTATGGTTATGAGACTAAATTAGAACTTTGATTTGAATTACCCAGCTAACTCTTGAGCTTCTAACTCCACAAGAAATTTTTCAGGTGTTTAAAATATGGCACATAAAATTACTGAACTAAAGAATTGACAGAGACTGTTCCATTGAGTCTAACCTCCATACATTCCCAACAGAGGAATAACCAGCCTCTGCTCAAACATATCCAGCAGAGGAGACCATCTCTTTTGGCAGTTGGTTCCATTGCCAAAGTCTTGTTTCCATTAGGAAATTTTACCCTGATGTTCAGTCAGGCCCAATTTGGAAAATGCTGAGGATCTATACAACATCTAATTATATAAAAAGAAATTTGTAACAAGTATTATAACAAGTACTATGCAGTGACCATTCCGATTTGGAAATGTATATATGTATGAACTGAAGTAAGAACTGTTTTCATGTATTTACACCTTAGAATGTTTTTATTCATCCGTGTCATCTGGAATTGCCTGATATTTTCATATATAGAGAAACAATGAGACAAATCTAAGAGTTCACCTTACCACAGATGAATATATCAAAAGAATGTTTAAGGAAATACACTGTGTGCATTTTGTTTATGTTCTGTTCACATAAAAAGATCCCAAGAGACAGTTTACACAAATTGTTCTGTTCCACTTATTGAATTGTTCCTAGATTTACTGTACAAATTCTATACTGGCTGTGGCTGAAGATCCACAGGGGTGGAATCCATACATCCTCTATCTTTAAGAAAAAGAATGCACTAATCAAAAAAATAAATGACATCCATCATGCCACATTTGAAAATCAAGTTCCCTTATTGTGTATAAGATATATAGCCTTCTTTTCTTTTGGATATGACATTTCCTATATTCCCTGTTGAAGTGAGGATGATGGAGCTTACATCCTATGTGACTGCTTCCCCAAGTAAAATTAGCACATTATTCTTTGTTCCCTGAGAAATCTCTGAGACCTGTCCTTAAGCTCAGTATTTCCTCTCTTATTTTAACATCTACATTCATTTGTGTACCATGCTCACTTGTCAAAAATATATATTTCAGCCACTAGTCTAATTAAGCTCACAGCCTTAACAAAAACTCCTCTTTCAGGTATGTATGTTAAAAAGCACTCAAATCCTAATTCCTTATAGAAACATTTTATATCAAGCCAATCTTTGATTATGTAGCAGATATACTGTATCCTGATGCTGATTTATGCAAAAAGAGGACTAGAAAAAAAAAAAAAACAGAATCCAGCTACTATAAAAATTAGTATGAAATGAAAAAAAATATTACAAAGTAATATTTGATACATTTATGCTAAATTTTCATAGTGGGTAGTTAGTAGCAGTGATGTTGTGAAATTGTGACTAGATTTATTACTGGATATGTAGTACTTTCAGCAAGAGCAGACTACAGAGATAATAGCAACCTGTGGGGGCTGAATTATGCTTCAGTCTATTCATGCAATAGGTGGCTTAGAGCAGTGTTTCATCAAATGTGGTCCAGGGCCCTGCCCCCCATCCCAAGACCCTCTCAAGGGTCCTTGAAATCAAAATGATTGGCCAGATATTGAAGTTATTTGCAAGGATTTAAAACAATGATACCCTTCTCGTTGTTTTATTTTTATTTTTTATTTTAATAAATAAAGTAAAAATATTTTATTTATGTTGTTCTCTACTAGATTTAATATTGTCATTTTTACACGATTCAATAAATATTCTATGGATGCATCCACTGCGATTTTTAATGCAGTCAATATTGATAAATATTCTCCTTACACACAAAAACTCTTTTGGGGTCCTCCATAACTTTAAAGATGGGAAGGTGTCCTGAGAGCAAACTTGCAGGATTAATAGGCAGACCATAGAGACCACCATAAAGCTTTAACACTTTCCTGTCAATCCTGCCCCAAATCATTTTCCATCTGATACAGCTTCCTTGGTCTAATAGATGGTCAACCTCACTGGTTGATAATCAAACAAGCTGTGAAGAAAGCAGAAGTCATGCAGAGAGTGGAGAACTACATACACTGCCTATATCAATGTCTCTCAGGTTTTTCAGCTTTTCAATCTATGTTTAATGTGAACCAAATCAGACCTTTTCATGCTCATTAGTTTCAGTCATATTACTTTGTGAAATTCCATGTTTGGTATGCCAAACTGACAGCTGCAGAGGCATCTTCCAGACCTTGTCAGAGTGCAGCCTTCTGTCAGAGAATTCGGGATGCTGGGTTCACCTCACATTGGTGGGTGCCAGGTTCAAAAAGCCTATTCATAAAAGCACCCTCAGCATTTGGTTCTTAAAATGGTGGGTATCTTGAACTGGAAGATTTCTCTAGCTCTTGCAAGGGTAATCAGTTTGTGTTTTATGGAGAAGGTTTTGGTTCATAACTCCTGAAAGTCAGAGTTAAGTGAAGTTGAAAATTACTCAGGACTTTAGTAATCTCATGAATGTTATAAGCCATGGAGAACTAAAAATAATTTCTAAGCAGCCCATTCCCAGCTGTGATAGAAATAGTTTGAGGATGGAAGGAACAACATTCAGAACAAAAGAACAGAGCAAATGAATGTCGGGCACAAATCATGATGGCCGTTCAATATGGTAAGCCTTAAAGAAATGAATGGGAACCGTATGAAAAGAGGATTTATTCTTTGTAGCACAGCTGGAGTTTCAAACTAAGCCTGATTCTAAACTTGTTTTTTTACTTAGGGATTATTTTATATATATTTTAATCTGAAGAAAAGGACCATGTTAATGAACATAGAAAAATATCAGTCATATAAAAATGGGGTTTTGTCTTATGTGCAGATGTTGATTTTTCGGATCACTCTTGCTGGAAAGGTTATATCTTAGCACAGCTGAGAAGTTAATAAAACGTTTAAGAAGTTCATTAAACTACCAATAAAAAATGTCATGACAGAAAAATGACAGGAATTGTTTTATTAATTGTTAGGCTAAGGAAAATGGCCGACCGGTTATAATGTTAACCGAGAAAATAACATACATTTTACATTTTTAAAAGCCATTTACAGTATTAAAATAATAAGCTCTGGCCTCTGGAGGATACAGCTCTTGCAGAATGATTCCATCTTTCAGTTTTTCAAATAAGGTCAAATTATTGTAAAGCTTTCATTACAGTGGGGTAAAGACAAAAATGTGTGGTAAGCAAATGAAATCTGAAGGGTTCCCAGCATACCCCAAAACAGTTTGGTGAGGATGAATGGAAGGGAGATAGATGTGCAACAACATTTCCATTATTTATTAATAGGTGTTTACCATAGAGTTATTTGAGATAACTCTGACTCTACCCTTTTGTCGAGTAGTAGAAATTTAACTGTGTCATGTATCATGAAGTCATTCCTTTGAATGTCCTGTGGTACTAATAGAAAAAAAAGAAGAAAGTATCAGCTTGTTAGGGAAATCACCTTATTTTTGCATACTACAAAAATTCAAGAAAAGTAATGAGGTAAGAATGCACACACACACACACACACACACACACACACACACACACACACACCTTTTTTACTATGCCCTCCCAAATCACAACAATAAAGCTCAGGAAAAGAAATACAGAAGCAACATTTCACTCATGAAATCCCTGGCTATTGTGAAAAGCAGAAAGATTGAACCAGGCCTATTGATTTACAAAGAGAGCTCAATGGAGGTAATAGACAGACTAAAGATAAAGGGGTAAAATTAATTACTTTTGTTTGGCAGGATTAGGACCAAGGAAGTAAGTATTTTAGTCCCATTGCTAATCTTTGTGAAACAAGCTAAACAAATCTAATAACAAAAGTACACAAAACAAGCCCCCAATTTACGAAATGCTGTACAATTGTATAAAAATCCTTGTACTCATCAAATCAGTTGGTCAGTTGTCCCAGAACCATATGCTGTTGTGGTTCTGCAACTCAGTAAACTGGACCTTCTTTCCTAAAGCAGTCTCCATTTTCTTATTCCTGGCTTGGACTGGACCTGAAGATTTTTCTTTCAACAGTAACCTTATATAATAACGCCTCTCTTCAACAAGAAAAATGGTGAAAAAGGGGGAGAGAGCTGAGAACAGAAGTTATGGAAAAAGATGTGAGGCAAAACCCTTTTAAAAAGTATGGGATAAATTTAAATTATTTAGAAATGAATGCTGAGTTAACTATAAAAAGCTGCTGGAAAAAAGAAACACAACCTGACAGCTGGCTACCTTTTTGCTGACTTGAATATTGATGGATTCTGAATTGTAACCCTCCGTTCTAGGTGGCGATTTTGTGTGCGTGTGTGCACATATAAAAATATAATCAGTCACTTGCGATTGTCCACTGTGCTATTTTTCTGTTTCTTTTTAAATTTTCCACTCAGAGAACTTGTATATGCATTTAATAGCAAAATCATACTTCATTGGTGCAATGCTGCTTGAATGACCTCTAGAAAAAAATAGAAAATATTTGATATGTACCTGTAAAGTAAGCAATTATCATATATGTTCAGAAAATTTGACCATGTTCTATTGTTGTTTCAAGGTTCTACGGGTGATAAGAAGACTGCTGGTGGTCTTTCAGGAGGCATTAAAGAAAGTGACCACGTGCCTCTGGAGAACCAGGAAGTCTTCTCCTTAAAAGAAAGAATGGCTTTGTACCAGGCTGCTGCATCTAAAGTAGAGATCAGCAACTCCTCTGCTAATGTAAGAAATATGCTTTTTTGCCTAACAGGTTCATATTATTCATTCAGACAGCTTTTACAGAAAAAGAACAATTACATTTCAGTTTGTCTTTCATTTCTGTGTCCTGTGTCACAAGAGAGGTGGCTTGGTTTCGGTTTGCACTGTTAATTACTGAATTCTTTTTAACCATAAAAAAACGAGTTCTGGAAAACTCATGTTTTTAATAGTTTTTATTGATTGCAATCCTAAAAGCAAGTGCAAAATAAACCCAGTGAGAAAAAAGAGAAATAGAAAGAATAAAAAGTGCAAGAAAAAGGGAAAGGGAAAAATAAGGTAAAAGAAAAAAAATATTTTAAAAAGTGACTTCTGATCTTCATCACAGGTATAAGCAAACTTAATGACTCTTCAGTTGTTTTTCTGGCAAGTTCTTAAACGGCACCTAAAGAAAACTTGCTCTATGTTCAATTAACAATTTGGACAATTTGGTGAGGACAAAAATTGACAGATTGCCCACTCCTCTGCTCAATGTTAAAGCAAAACCTGTTTATACATAATTTGTGAGAGGCTTTAACACAGTGATTCTCAACCTGTGGGTCAGGACCCCATTTGGGGTCGAATGACCATTTCATGGGGGTCACCAAACCATGCTGTCCGCCATTTTTTCCCTTTTCCCTAGCTGTCCTACTCTCTCTTATTGGTGGCCACACCCACTTGGGGGTCACCACAACATGGGGAACTGTATTATGGGGTCACGGCATTAGAAAGGTTGAGAATCACTGCTTTAACATAACTCAATGTAAATAGTTAAAAAAAGGAGTATCCTAATATCATGATCTACCATCATACTCACAAAAGTTGTATTCCTGTTTTCTACCCTATTGAGGTATCTTTGAATAAAGGCCAATTTTATAATAATAATAATAATAATAAAAGTAGAGAAAATTTCAAGATGGCCGTTAACTAAATTCAGAATTTTGTTTTGACACTTTCCCTTCACCCAAAACAAATCTTCCTAAATAGCATACCCAGAATGAAATGCAAATTCTTAGGAGTAAATGGACACAGTGGAGCTATTTGTAGCAGTAAGAATTGATTGCCCTGCTAGGTGGCAGTGCTTAGCTGACCTTGGTTGATCTCAAAAAGTTAAGGAGGGTGAAATAATTCAATTATTTACTGTTGCCAAGAAAATTGTATGAACATATGCATAAAGTCACCATGAATCTAAATTGAATCAAATGAGACTTTACCCTTAAGAACTGACGGTATACCAAGAACTGATAAGAAATATTAAGAAAGACTTAGTACATTTGCTGCTAAGGGATAACAAACACGATTAGGTGATAGACTCTTGAGGCTTGCTCTGAAGGTATAAGTAATTCCAGGAGAGTTCAGGAAAATAAATTGCTCTCTGCAAAGATAATAATGTGGGTCCGAGGTTCATGGCCGTGCACCCATTCGGGTGCCCATTTTCTGCTCAGACATGCTGACGTTCATTCCATCAGAGAAAACATCTCTCAAATTAAACTTTATTTAGCTCCGTGTGAGCATTCACATCTAAGACACATAAAACGATGTTTGGAATCATTTTACTTTGAAACATATTGGGAAAGCTAAAGAAAACAAAGCATGCAAACATCGTCATCCAGAAAAATGGAGCAAACTTTTAAGCAATTCATTTCATAACTCAAGAAGAGTCTTCAGTAAGTTAAATCAAGGGTAGATAAAAGATGTTTTATCCACACAATGCATTGGTTAACTCTGCATGACAAATAAAGTCTAACATTACATAGCTTAGCTCCAGGTACCGATCTAAAGATAATATGGAAATCTCTACCTTTCAATTTGAAGGGTACTCTCCATTCAAACCCAGGGATCCTTTCCCTAATAAATAGTACGAAAACCAAGTTGGATGATGTTTTATGTCGAAGTAATAACTTTGCATAGAAATTGGGGATTTTTAAAATAATCCTCAGTATTTACATTTGAATACCTATAAATACAATTGTTGTAAGGACATAAACTAAAAATATGTAATCTAACTGATGCTGATCCCTAACAATTTTAACAGGGAACTATTAACTGCTACCAAAATAACAGCTGCTTTCAAGCAATATAAAACTCAAATCAAATCAATCAATCAATAATCATCTTACAAATTCCATAGCATATGGAAGCAGAGCATAGCATGGGCTACGACTGATAATAAGAGGTATCATACTGCCAGCCTTTGGAAGGGATTATTTTAATTCAGTATATCCAATTACTTTTCTTCCTGATGCTGTAGGCTCAAAATCTATTAGAAGTAACTTAGTCAACAGAGAAATCCGAACTGTTTATGATGTTGCTGTTGGAGATGGATTTTAAATAATTAGTAATCAGAGCATTAAAGCTACTGTTGATAAAATTGTTGTTTATGGAATATGTTTGAGGATCTTGAAATATCAGTTACAATTGTATTTTCTAAAAGAAGAACAACAGAAATTTTAATCACTGGATCCATTTATGGTCATTGGTATAATTAGCCATTTATTTATTTATACAGATTTTAAAATGCCAGATTTCCAGTGAACTGGATACTTTGTTTCTTAAAAAAGCTAGAACCATAAAATGAAAGAACAAAGAATTGTCCATCCAGAAAAAGAAAAACTATGCTGTACAAAACAAAACCAATGCTATAGAGACTTAGCAATTTTGTATTCCAAGGTCTAGGAAAATAATCAGGTTTTCAATATATTCTAGAACTTTAACATTGCACAATCAGCCAGATGCTCAGACTGGATTTGGCATTTTATCTACCAATCAAGTCCTTCCCAAGGACCTGGTATAGGCATATGTTGATGTTTCATAGTATTAAAGGTATCATCACAGGATGCAAGCTGTTCCAAGTAAAGCTGCCTTTTGCAATTGACTCATGGTGAATTTATCAATGCCAATGGTGTTTAAGTGGTGTTCCAATTGTTTTGGGACTGCACCCAAGCTTTTACTATTGATACCACCTTTGCTTTCTTTTGCCACAGTCATTCTGTTTTTATTTGCAGGCCTTTGTATTTTGTTATCTTCTCCAGTTCTTTCTTTTCTGTTGTCTCCAGATCATGTCCATTATCCAGACTTTTTTTTTGTCTTTCTTATCGATAATTGTTAAGTATTGTTTAATTTCTATCTCATAAAATCACAATTTCTAAAGGTAGGCGAAAAGATTATTTAACTTTTCCCTTTTTCCCCATTCTGCCTGTATCTAACTCAAACCCCACAAAAAGCGTCAGGCTCTTTTATTTTTTTCACCATGGAAAGAAAAACAAGTAGAAAAATGCTCATGGTGGAAAGAGGTTCCAAATGAAATTTTAAAAACTGGCTTGACGCTATAAAGCTCTTTATGGCTTGGCATTGGGTTACCTATAGGGCCACTTTGCTCCTCTTGAATTGGCATATACACAGTGATCTTGCTGGAAGATCAGTGCAGCTGTTTTTCAGGAAGAGTATGCGTTTGTGAGTATGTGTATGTGAATTTGGAGACATTGTTCTTCCCCAATGGGGCTAGCTTTCCAGAGTGGTCTTTCATAGGAGATTTCATTGGCTCCAATGTTACAGTATTTTGCCTTCCAGAAACAACCAACACAGCTATTGTTTTGAGCTTTGTAGACACAATGTTTTTTTTATTTGTCATGATCCTATTACTGTCTTGTTTATAAGCCACTGAGAATCCATTTACAATTACAGCAGGAGATCAGTTTGATTAATAAATAAATAGTGACTAGCAGGGAAAGATTTTAAAGATTTAAGCATTTTGTCTTCACTAGGCCATCTTCTTGTGATTGCAGCACTCAGCAGCAGTTTTATTTACAAAGAAAAAAACAACAACCCAAATTTCATTCCAGTTCAATATAAGCAACCTGACTTTTGCATAGTGACAATAATGTATTGTTACTGGATAACAACTGATGTGCAAGGACCAAGTACAGAAGAATAGAAAGCACTCAAAAAATTATCCCACACTTTTTTTTTAAATTTCAGCATCGCATACCTCTTTTTTTTTTTTTGTTATAGATCTGTAGCTACTCTGAATAGATTTTATGATATTGGAATTCTTTCTAGAAGAAAAGCTACAGTATGCCACATAGGCTTTCTATACCACATTTATAAAATAAATAAATGTCACATATTTCAATTTTTAGATCAATATGAAAAATTTGGTTTATTTGAATTCTCCCAGCCCTGTTAGAAATAGTGAACCTTATGACTGACAACAAAAAGAAGAAGGCCATGAAGGGTACACCTTTCTTTTGTCTCTCTTTCTGAATATGAAAAAAGGGCTAAAAGAGACTCTACCTTTAAATTATTACTTGTTTAATATTTTCTATATTCTCCGTGTTTTAAAGATTTATTCAAATATTCATTGACCCACAAGAAATTGAAGATTAAAAAATGTAAACAAAATTATTGCACAACAGAATCTACACAAAAGAAAACAAAGGATAACTTAGCACACATACACACAAATACACACACACACACACACACACACACACACACAAAATACTTTTAGTATACTTTTAAACTAAGTATAAATACATTTGGAATCTTATGGGAGATGCAACATTTTAAAGATCTGTGCTTAGTATAGCTAAACTAAAAAAACAGAGGTATAGAAAGAGAGAATTAGGAATTATGTTGTTGCCATAACCAGAAATGGAGATCAAAGGTGAATAAAACAATCTTTAGCTGAAGGAGTCTTCAGGAATCTTTACTGCAGTGTTCATTTTTCAGCCAATTCCATTTCCCACACCATTGATCCAAAGAAAGATATACTTTAGTTTTCCTGTGCTTTTCTGTAATAAATCTGACTCTTACTAATAATAATTGAATTTGTTTCTTACCCTTTGCTAATTCTTGTCTCACCCCATTTTAAATATCCTCGCAAATCTGGACAATAAACCTATACTCACAGTCGTAATCAAGAATTGTGTAATCTTTCTAATTTATTCAAAAACTTTCAATCAAAACAAGTGAGCAAAAGGCCATTG